GTGTACAATACCCCTGTTGTTATATCACCCCCCCCCCTCCCCCAGGTACTCTATACCACATATTGACCAATCAGAAGCTTGACATTGAACGAACAGCTTATTTGGCCCTGTCAACAGTAATACGGGATCTCTTATTCACTGTCTGCGGTCAACACCATTTTCCCCAGGCAGTGAGTCGCGGTGTGGCTCCTACGGCCATATATCACTGAAGCAAGTCACTGTTCACCTCCATCAGGTAGCACAAAAATGTGAGAAACCCAAGCAACGAGTGGATTCGCTTCTCTCATTGGTTGATTGCTAGGAAGGAAGGCGGTGATTGGCCCCCGGGTTTGTCATATTAGGAATATGTGTCATTATATGGGCGGCGCTTGTTCCTCCCCGCTCACGAACCCCACCACCAATTCTCACGATTATCAAGTTTTATAATTTTTCGCTTTTCTTCCACTAAAATGAAACTCTGACGTCTTGGAAACTTACCTGTTAATTAAATGTCTCTTTTTACTCCGTCAGGTGTTGCAGAAATCAGGCTCGGTCATGAGGGGGGAGACTTATGACCTGAAAAATGAGGACAAATTCTGGTTCGCTGTGAGTTGTTTGCCCCCAGGCCACAAGTTTTCGCTCACTATGTTGATTGCACGCCACGGCTCGTTCATCACCCGCTGCTCGCTGCCTGCATGCAATAACTCATCACCCTTGCATTCTCGACCTTACGGCACCCGGTCACAAGGTCCACTTTACTCCTCCCTCTGGCTGTCTTTCCCTGTGTCTTAGGATCTGTTTTGCTCGTGCACCTAGTTTGTGTTTTTATTGAGAATTACACTGGTGGTCGGGATGGTGTGGCTAAGGTGGTGTGGCTAAGGTGGTGTGGCTAGGAGGGGGTGTGGCCGAGGTAATGAATGACCCTTTCGACGGCAGTGTGATGAATGAGAACACCACCCCCTTATTCTGTGCCCCCTCCCCTCTTGTAGCTTCCCCCTCCTACATCTACCTTCAACAGCTATACCCTCTCACCTTCCCCCTACATCCAATACCTACCCCCCTTCCTTTACCTCCAATGACTACCCCTTCCCTGTCCCTACCCACTTTAAACCCCCTCCTTCCCCCATTTTACCCCCTACCCTTCCTCACCACAAAAAGACAACATTCCCTTCCTCCAATAAAAAAAAATCAAGATATTCCCTTAAAATAAATCTTACTAAAATTACCTTAAGTTATTTTTACGGATTATTCCCTTTACCTGTCACATTTAACAAGGAATGAGACAGGCAAACACAGGCAGGTAAGTCGCTCAATGTGTGGGAGGTTTACAAGCGTGGGGGAGATAAGGTTATTGTTGTTTTCGTGTTATAGTAAAGTAGGTATTTGTGACGTATGCATTCGTCAAAATAATACATTGAATAAAAGTGTTAATATTTCCCCCTTATCCCCCTTCCCTCCCCTTATCCCCCTTCCCTCCCCTTATCCCCCTTTCTTGCCTTATCCCCAGCGCCCCCCTTGCAGTATCCGGCCAGCGACTACTCAATCCGGTTGTACTGTATAGGTCTATTAGTGCACACCTTCAGGGCCGGATATCCAGCTATTTTTCTATCTAATGGCAACGTTGCATTGACAGCCGATGAAATATCTGCAACACTGAGACTTACTCCAGTGTGGGTCATGCCTCATAAATCAGTAATTAAGGTCACCAGGTTATGTATCCGTAGAGAGAGGACTTGTATCAAACATCACCATACATTATACATCAACTTTAGAGGAAGTTCTCATTAAATTACTGGGATTATGCAATGAAAAATTTGATAATTTATTGGTGATTGACTTCACTGTAACTTATTCATTGTTAATTATTGAGTTTTATCTTTTATTTTTGGACGTTTGAAAGTTATTCAGTTTCCTCCAGTGTATAACAAGGGAGGTGTGTGTGTGTGTGTGTGTGTGTGTGTGTGTGTGTGTGTGTGTGTGTGTGTGTGTGTGTGTGTGTGTGTGTGTGTGTGTGTGTGTGTGTGTGTGTGTGTGTGTGTGTGTGTGTGTGTGTGTGTGTGTGTGTGTGTGTGTGTGTTCAGAATCATCATATATTACACCTTATCGTTAAAGATTTACCTGTTATTCCTAATTAAAGAAATGGATATATAATTTGATATAAGTATGTTTACCACACCTGATATAAGGTAGTAAGGGTGTTAATTACAGGTAAATAATCATTAAGTGACAGGTATGGTAGCAAATAAGGTGATGTTGTTATTGTATCTAACTTATTTTCACCGTTAAGTTCCAATCGGAATGTAATCGTTGCGTTAGTAATAATTAATCGATTCTCGTCTCGATTAACTATAACAGAAATACCATTTTTTTAATACTACGAGCGTTTGTAATTGTTAATCGTTAATTTGTTATTGGTGAGTCGTGGTTAGGTTAGGTTGTAGAGGTTGTGTGGTAGATCAATGTTGTGTCGTGTTGTAGGGTTGTCTTGTAGGGTAGTGTTGTAGGTGTTGTGTTGTAGGTGTTGTGTTGTAGGTGTTGTGTTGTAGGGTAGTGTTGTAGGGTTGTCTTGTAGGATAGTGTTGTAGGTGTTGTGTTGTAGGGTAGTGTTGTAGGGTAGTGTTGTAGGTGTTGTGTTGTAGGGTAGTGTTGTAGGGTAGTGTTGTAGGGTAGTGTTGTAGGTGTTGTGTTGTAGGGTTGTGTTGTAGGGTTGTGTTGTAGGGTTGTGTTGTAGGGTAGTGTTGCAGGGTTGTGTTGCAGGGCTGTAATGTAGGGTTGTGTTGCAGGGCTGTAATGTAGGGTTGTGTTGCAGGGTTGTGTTGCAGGGTTGTGTTTGTGAGTGTTGCAGGGGTTTGTGTTGCAGGGGCACCTGCCTTAATGTAGGGTTGTGTTGCAGGGTTGTGTTGCAGGGTTGTGTTGTAGGGTTGTGTTGCAAGATAAGATCGAATAACGTGAATATTTTCCTCATCATGTAACGTTATTGGCATGTGTTGAGGGTCACTCTTGTTGTCCACAATAAGTTGAGTATACGACTGAGTACAACTGATTACTACCTTTCCAGTCCACAGTAAGTTAAGAATACGACTGAGTACAAATGATTACTTTCCTTTTCAGTCCACAATAAGTTAAGAGTACGACTGATTACTTCCTTTTCAATCCATCTAAGTTATGAGTACACTTGAGTACTTTATTTCTATACAGTTACTTTCCCAATCTGATAAAACTTAATACCCAGGGTCAGTGTTGACGATGAGTGTTTAACCCACGCGTTTGGGGGTAAAGCGGCCAAACTAACCATATCAGATGACGGGTCTTATGGTAATATTTCCTCTCCGTTAAGTCTGTGTTATCTGTATACGAACCATCTAATTGCAGGAAGACTATTGGTGGTGCACACGGTAATTAAAGCACTTTATTGTTTCCGAGGTGGCGGTTAATGATGTAATTGGAGGTGTAGTTTACCCCCCTTTTTCTTCCCTCCTCCTCCTCTTCCCCCCCTCTCTACCCTCTTCTTCCCCCTCCTCCTCCCTCTCTCCCCCCTCTCTACCCCTTTTACCTCCTTCCTCCTCCTCCTGCACCATAACTCACCCGGGTATCATCAACAGCCCCAGCAAGGCCCGCGAGACGTTCCAACACTACATCACTGGAAGAATTTTGTATAATTTTTTTTTTTACATATTAAATGAAAAAAAACCCTGATAATTCTCCTCTATTTCAACCTTATTTTCTTATATTTCAATAGTAAAATAATAGAGAAATCCTCCATTAATGAGCCAAGAATTCTAAAAATCGAACTAAAATCATAAATTCGGTGCCATAAATTGATCAGGTTAGGTTAATACGTAAATATTTGGAAGGTGAGCGTAATATTAAAAACACCTGCACAAATGGTCGCATTATAAATAGTCTTTAATCACATCTTATTAGTATGCATCAAGTTATCTCAGGTGTGACCAGGTATAGGCGACTCTGGCCCCTCGGTAATAGGTCACGAAGGTCGAGGATTCTGGTGGCGTTGATTGACATCTTTCTGGCTGTCTGTAGTCTGAGGCTAGGGGAAAGGGGGAGGGGGTTAGTTTGGGGGTAGGGGGTTAGTTTGGGGGATGGGGTTAGTTTGGGGGAGGGGGAGTTTCATGCCAGTGTGTCATAGATTTATAATTTTGCAGAGTTTAAACACTCTCTCTCTCTCTCTCTCTCTCTCTCTCTCTCTCTCTCTCTCTCTCTCTCTCTCTCTCTCGGTCTTTGCAAAAAAAAACCAAATATTAAAAATAAGTTCAACAATACACATCAATCACACTGTTATCTTCTTCCTCTTCTCTTCTTCCTCCTCCTCCTCCTTCCACCATAACTGTAAATAACAACAGATATACAGTACAATGCTAACTCTTCCTCCTCTCCCTTCTCCTCCTCCTCTAACTGTGAACGCCGACAGATATATCATGCATAGCTAAATTAGCCCAATAGCCCGGGTTTACAGGTAGGGGGAGAGAGAGCCACCAAGTGTGAGTTATTACCTGGAAATACATTCAGGTAACCACAATTAATTACATAGTTAGGAAGGTAATTGATTCTCATCCAGTACTTAGGGAGGTTAATGTGTGGCTGAGGGATAAGGGGGAGGTGGGGGGGGTAGGTAGATAGAAAGGAATATTTTACGTTTATTTTCGTTGCAACATTATATTTTGTAGGTATTGGTATAGATGTGTGTGTGTGTGTGTGTGTGTGTGTGTGTTCTGCCTGGACAGTGACGTTGATCCACTTACCTCACTCACTCACTCTCACTCATTCACTCTCTCTCTCTCTCACTCACTCACTCTCTCCTTTTGTTCATAATCTATCGGTCGTCGATGGTCGCTTCAGAGAGAGAGACGACCGGTGCATAATTACGGGGCGTAGCATCTTGCATTAGAGCAGGTTATTTGAATCTATCGCCGGGGGCAGCACCTTCCTCCATTATAATTAATTAATGGCCAAGTCCCGGGCAACAAGACCAGGGTGTGACTCTAAGCCTTGCCTCAGTTACCTTACTTCATGGTGGTGTTGCTGTTCCTGCTCCCTGTTGTTTCCCTCGCTGTATTACTCGACTCCTGCTGTTGTTCCTGCTGCTGTAGGGGATGTTGCTGGGCCTGAAGATGTGTTGCTACAGCCGGAAGATCGATTTTTGTCTTCGACCATTGACTGTGTTTTCGTCATCTCTTCATTGCCAGGTTTATTTTTTTTAATGTATGTGTTTTTGTTGGTATGTTTTCCTCACCTTCTCCCTTATTTTTCCTCACCATCATTCTTCCTCACCCTCACCATCTCCCTCATTCTTCTCCATCATCCTTATTCTCCCTTACCCTCTACCTCATTCACCCTCTTCTTCACTCTCATTCTCCCTTACCCTCTCCCTCTACCCCATTCCTGTTTTAACCTAACCTAACCCTAACTTCACCAACCCTAATCCTGACCTAATCTACACCAACTTTACCTTAACCTAACCAATCCTTCCCGTAATTTAAACCAACCCTATTCTAACCTAACTACTCTTAATACTAACCTAATCTGCCCTTAACTTAATCTCACGTAACCTAAATCTGAGATCCGTTCCTTAACTATAGGATTTCAGGTGTTGGTCCAAAGGATTTAGTTACTTAAGTCCTTACAGGTAAATCCCTAAATAGGTAATACGATTTTGTTTATGTTTTTTAATGTGGTGAAAATTAATAGTAGGTTGTAGGGTCTTCTTCTTCTTTTTCTTCTTCTTCTTCTTCTTCTTCTTCTTCTTCCCCCTCCTCCTCCTCCTCTGAATATTTTTAAACTCGCTAGAACCATTTAAGACCCAAACGCAGGAAACTATCTCCAATTATCGCTGGGAAATGAATGCAATAGAAGAAACTAATTAACCGTAATATGCTGATTAGCGCTGTTGTCCATCGCCCCTCCGGAAATGAACTAATGGTAATGATTGCCGACCTCAAGCGCTAGTTGTCGCATTATTAAGTTTTTCGTCCGTCTGTTAGTGGTGAAAATGGGGAGATGAATGTTTGTTTTACTGAGCAGGGCCGGAGGGGGAAGGGGCCGGAGGGGAAGGGGGCCGGAGGGGGAGGGGGCCGGAGGGGAAAAGGGGTCGGAGGTGGTTAAAATTACGCGCGTAAAAATTCGTGTCAACGTAGGAGAGGAATAGCTGATTTAGAGAGACAATTGAGGGGCTTTTTTTGTTAATTTTGCTTTTTACTCTGTTTTAAATTGTAGGGAAAAGAGGGTAAATGCTTTTATTTCGGGGGCTTTTGTGATTTTCCTATTCTTTTGGCTTTTTTATGGTGATTTTTGTATAATGTGTTTTTTTTTTAGTTATTTTTATTATTATTATTATTATTACTATTATTATTTAAGACAGCATTACATTGTTAGAGTTATTGTTAATAAATTAAATATATTTCCTATGTAAATTTATCGTGAAGAAGAGTGATTTATTTCATTACAAAATAATTGAAATTTATATAGAATTAGAGAGTAAATTTAATTGGAATCTTAACTCAATTTAAAATCAAAGGGGAATTAATTTTTATATAGAAAATTGTAAAACATATTAATTTATTTTCATATTTATTGTTGATAACCTGTATGTGGTCTACCTGTTAGAGCGGCCATTTTGTATAACCTTACACTGTAGGCTGTTTATCATTAACCTACAGAAACTTATATTATGTAGTAGGATTTATTTAGCGACGAGGCTGTGTACTCTCTCTCTCTCTCTCTCTCTCTCTCTCTCTCTCTCTCTCTCTCTCTCTCTCTCTCTCTCTCTCTCTCATGAAAATAACTACTTGGCAAATCCATTCACTTAAAATCTAAAAAAAATAATAGTAAAAATAATAATATATTCGGCAAAATTTACATCTCTATCCATAAGCAACATTACAGCTACAGGTTAAAGTTATTGTAATTATCCTGTGGCAGTAGTTACAAAATACAGCCATATTTTTCTGAAACCAAATACCAGTCTTGAATTTTAGTTGTTGTTGTAAGTTATAAGTTGTTAAAATATAACATAGTGAGCGTGTTAAAAGAGCTGGGTAGTTGTAGCAATCATAATAACAACCATAAAATGAATACAATAATAATTTTATATATTATTACGATTATTAATTATTTTATCTACTGTGTAAACGTGATGAAAAGACCTTATTTGTTGTAACACGGAAATAAGCATAAAACCAAAATATCAACAATTAGAGAGGCTTTACTATCAGAATTACAAAGTTTATACAGAAATACATTATAATACAGTTACAGAATAAAGCCTACAGTACTGTATCACACTTTGACTATATAAAGTTGGTTCCTTACTGTAGCCATGAATATTACTGTATCAAAATATTACTTAATTGAATCATACAGGTATAAACTACAGGTATTGCAGGTACAGTAATACCCACTTGACTGTATCGTAAAGTTATGGCTTATCGTAGAACTGTATTTAAATGTACCTGAAGACTATTTACATTAGAATTTAATTACAGTATAAAGTACAGGTACAGTAATTCTCCTGTGATGACTGCATTATAAACGTGGTGTCATTAGGTGTATTCAAATATCAAAATGGTTATTAATTAATTTACTTATTTATTTAGTGAATTATCCATATTTAAAAGACTTTTGTTGTTTTATTGTTTATTATTTACATTGTTATGGTTTTAATATTTTGCTGTTATTATTATTATTATTATTATTATTATTATTATTATTATTATTATTATTATTATTATTATTATTATTATTATTATTATTATTATTATTATTATTATTATTATTATTATTACTATTATTATTATTATTATTATTATTATTATTATTATTATCATTATTATTATTATTATTATTATTATTATTATTATTATTATTATTATCGAATTTGAAAAAGAGCGAAACTAAATTTGTTTTAAATAATAAATTAATTTGATTATTGCCAAAATAAATAGAAATATAATACAGTATATTGACAAGGTTATAATAGCAATAATACATCAATTGAAATAGATCGAAAATCACTTAATATAAATAGTAAATAAATTGAAATTGAAATAGAACAAAAATATCGTTGGTAAATATAAAGAAATTATATAATATTATACTTGTGAAATGTAAGAAAATATAATCAAACTATTACAAAAACAATAAATAGTAAACACAAACAAATCAACATACAATAAATATAAATTAACATAATAAATATAATAAATTTAACTTAAACTACGACAAAAACGTTAAACCACTGTATTGGTCTAATGAAGCGATGTTCCTCAATAAAATTAATATACAACAAACGTTTTACTGATGAATAAAATGTTTTAATTATCCATTATATGTAAATAAAATTAATGGTTTTATTTTCGAGGTATTTTGTCCATCAGTAAGATATAGATAAATATTTGGGCGTTTCTGTGTTTTTCTTTATTGAATCTGTAATATTAATTTAATATTTGTTTCAGTTCGTAATGTAATTAGTTTGATAAAATTTCAATTATTATTATAATCATCATTATTATTATTATTATTATTATTATTATTATTATTATTATATTATTATTATTATTATTATTATTATTATTAGTGTTAATACTGTTAATAGTAATAATAGAAATATTAATGATAATAAAAATTAATTTTGCTCATAATCTCAGTATAGGTCGTCCTGGACACGCTGATTAACGATCTGTGGTCGAAATGTTGATATTTAGATAATTAATTGTCTTAATAGTACCCTATATTATGTTTTGATAATTAATTATGTTATTTAATATGAGGATACTTAATAATAATAATTAATTATCTAAATATCAACAGTTCGACCACAGATCGTTAATCAGCGTGTCCAGGACGACCTATACTGAGATTATGAGCAAAATAAATTTCTTGGGCCGAAAAATTTAAAGATATATTCCCTTTTAAAATAAATTGATTGATGGACAGATATAAGAAAATAGAAAAATATTCAATACTCGCTGAAGACTGTAGTTGTTAAACACGGTAGACCAACAATACAATACCTGGCTACTGTATGACTAGTGAAGATTATTACAGTTTGGCCTCTATCAATGTCAACCCTTTACTAAGAGACGCCACTTTTAATAATTTACTTGATTAATGCCAGACGATTTTATTCGGCAAAGGGTGTTTCTATCTATCTATCTATCTATCTATCTATCTATCTATCTATCTATCTATCTATCTATCTATCTATCTATCTATCTATCTATCTATCCGTATTTGTCTTATCTGTCTGTCTGTCTGTCTGTCTGTCTGTCTGTCTGTCTGTCTGTCTGTCTGTCTGTCCACCATTACTTACAGTACACATAAAACAAAGGGCTCCACTAACCCGACCTCACGAGCCACTGCAACAAGCGACGTTATTATTGCACATGTTGCATTGCAGTGAGCCGCTGTTGCACAGAGGACAGGTGTGATGGCGTTAGTGATGAATGATATTATTGGTGTTGTTAAGGCGTGAAGGAGTTAATTACACTGTCTGAAGGGTGTATCTCCTGCCTGAGTTGGTAATACTTGTTAGGGAGTGTTATTGTGAAGTTGGTGTTCTGAGCTGGTATCATTGTTTTGTGTTAGGAGCTTGGTCGCCTGCGTTGGTAATACTTGTTAGGGAATGGGTTATTGTGAGAGTGGTATATTGTATTGGCATCACTGTATGGTATTAAAACCTTTATAATCCTCTCAGGTAATTAAAAATATTCACAGGTAAATATTATTCACTCAGGTACTCATTCACTCCCTGTCACGCATTGCCACTCATTTTCACTCACTCATTCCTATTCATTCATGTTCACTCATAGTTATTAACAATTTACTCAACAGAACATTCGACGTGTATGATTATGAAGTGAGATGCATATTTCAGTAGTTAGAGTATGCGTTCAGTTTGCGTAAGGTATGTGAGACGCATGCGTAAGTTCGCGGGCGGCGGGCGTTCTAGCGTTCTCTTGAAATAATGACGAAATAAACACACTTGGGCGTTCTAACATTCGACTGTAACTAAGAAGAATAAATAGAAAATTATTAAACGTACAAAAACTTTCTAATTTCCCCTGATGACCTTAGTGATTACTGTTAGTTTAAGACGGAAGTGTCACAGGGGTCATACATACAGGTGACCCATTAACCTGACCTCAAAGGGACTGCCGCCATCACCCGCGGCAGGTCATTTGAGGTCAAATCGGGCCAGACAGTGTTAAGACGACTTCCGGTACTGGGTCAGTCAAGTGATCAGTGATTACCTAAGAAAAGAGCCAGGTGACGTTTGTTTACTTACAAATCAATAATTATCACTTAAATATTTGTTCTTCGTCTTATATTCGAAGCATCTCAGCGAGTACTTCACAGCGAGTACAAGTTAATGATGGTGTTTGGTAACTTGTTCTACTCACCCACAACTCTTATTTATAATCCAGTGTTTATCTGATTCCTTATTTGATGGAAAATATTGTTACGTGTTCGCTCTTGGTTTGATAGTTTAAATACCCGAGTTATATCATCTTTAACCTTTTCTTTCATAATACATATTGATCCTGTCGACCCACCCCCCCCCCACTCTACGTCTCTTAAGATAATATAAATTTAGTTTCTCTATCTGCCTCTGTATGAAAAGGACTAACTATTATCCTTCTCTGAATCTAAGTCTGGTCTCCCTAACCCTGGATGTAGTAAAGTAACAACACTGCTTCCGTCACTAACTCTCCTTGAAACCCCAGTACTATGTTGGTCTTATTGCCTACATAGACACATTGCTATCTTGGTTTAAGGTTCCTACTTATCATCGCCCTTAAAACTTTCTCACACTCAGATTTCTCTATAGTTACGGTGTTGAGTTGATGGCTGGTTCCTTTATTTCCTTCCCTGGGTCTTAGATATTTGCATTTTTCTTCAGTATATTTGTCATTTTTCGGTCCCTTGGTAAAATCTTGTTAAGGTTTACTTGTAGTTTTGTCGAGTCTTCACCTGAAATAATTATACACCTTATATTTGTGTTATCAGTTGATTCACTTACGTTACTGGCTATGTCTGTATCTATATTATACACCGTATGTTGGCAGTAGTTAGTATGTGCGACCAGCTGGCGAGACGCAAGAGTAGGTTCAGTGACTGTGAGTTCTAACAGGCCCCATTACTGACAGGCCCCACTTCTTACAGGCCCCACTTCTAACAGGCCCCACTTCTAACAGGCCCCACTTCTAACAGGCCCCACTTCTAACAGGCCTCATTTCTAACTAGCCGTAGTCCTAACAGGCCCCAGCAGTGGCAGGAGGAGGCGGAGGTGGTGGTGGTGGTGGCAGGATACACTAGGAGGGTCAGGTAACACACCCACCTGAGGGAGAACACAATTACCTGGGCAGTGAGCAGGTAATAGTACCCACTGCTGCCACTAGCGGACGTCCCGTGGTTCATCTGGGTTTATATGTTAATTGATTCACGCCTCCAATATCTTTATCATTTACCGTGTGCTTGTCGACGGTGTGTGAGGGGTGTGGGTGTGGGTGTGGAGGGGTTTGAAGGGTGTGGAGAGACGTGGGTGTGTGTGGAGGAACCAGGTGCTTGGGCAGGTGTGGGTGTGTGAGAGAGATGTGTGCGGATGGATAAAGGAGGAGAGTTTATGTCTGCATTCATTCAAGATATTAAATGATTTTAAGAACGTGAGACCATTTTTTGTGGTATAAGTTGTACAGGAGAACGTGTCTGGCCTTATGAAGGGATGAAAACACGAACGTTCCCACAGGTATTATTATTATTATTATTATTGTTATTATTATTATTATTCCTTCCAGGTGCTGCGGTCCGTCACCCCCGTCGCTGTCACAACACTGGTCTGGACGGAGCAAACAGGAGAGTGTGGCGGCAACAACTTATTCGTGTGTGTACGTTTGTCTTCTCGTGTTTTATCCTAATGTTGTAGAATTGAGAATATAATTTTGCCTCTTCAGTTTAGAATGAGTAATATTTTTCGAGTGTTTGAACGATGTATTGAGTAGTAGGGGAGAGGAGGGGGTTACAGGTAGTGAGAGTAACTAGCTATAGATGACACACCTTCAGTCAGTCACACCCTTAGAGTCTGTTTAGGCTGAGTAACACGTTATATAACCTCGTCTGTGTTTTCAATCTGAAGTGAGTATTTGGTTCCACTTTAAGCTATTCTCTACCTATTAAATTCTATCTCTAAGGTATACTTGAGTCTGTTCTCATGTAACCTATCACACCTATGGTGGATTATAACATACAGGTGTTACCCATTACTACAGCTGTCAGGGCATGGAAGGGGGGGGGGGTGTCTGATTAGGCTCATAAAGGTGTTACTCTACTACAGGTACGTGGAAGCCAGGTAAGAGGTCGGGGAGGCTGATCATCTTCTCATAAAGGTGTGAGTTTGCCTTGGTGTTTATCCCTCTCAGCCAGCACCTGTGGCCGAGTGTACATAGATGACCGGGCAGGGTAGTGCAGGTAGAGGTGTGTGTTAAGTGGCTGGTGTACAGGTGTAGGAAGAGGGTTGGGAGAGATAGTAGACGTGGATAAGGATGGATGGATGGATGGATAGGATAGGATTTTTGTATAGTGAAGCCATAACGTAATCCACCACTTTTTCTCATTCATTCATAGCCAATGGATCACCTGAAGATTAGGCATTATAACGTTACCTGTGGGATTTAAGTGAGGTGAGGTGACGTGACGTGACTTTTTCATGGTATAGCACATAGGTCTCTTGGTATAGCACAAAGGCCTAACGGTATAGCACAAAAGCCTGACGGTATAGCACAAAGACCAGGCTAACGATATCTACTCAACATTCAATCTCTTCCTGAACACAAAACCTCGTACGTAACTCCAACTTAAGACAAGAAAACAACAATAAAAAGGCAATACTCCTGATTACTTCCCTCTTGTCCCCTTCCCTCTCCCCCCTTCCCCCTTCACCCCTTTTCCTCCACCATCCTTCCCTCATCCCCTCCCTCTTCTCCCCTCCTCCTTCCCCTCCCTCCATCCCCTTCCTCTTTCCTCCTTCCCTCTTCCCTCACCCCTCCCTCCTTCATCCCCTTCCTCTTTCCTCCTTCCCCTTTCCCCACCCCCTCACCCTTCCCCTCCTGGACCAATGCCTCAGGAGCTCAATGTTATCATATATCAAACACCCATCAACGACATCCACGCCTCCATCCTCCCATCTTTCACTCTACAACAACTCTAACTACGTAATTGTAGTTATTAAAGCCAATTACATACACTCACTAACTCGTGCAGCAAGAAGTGATATTGTCCATCTCACGTTTAGGAAGTACAGATGACAGGAGCTTCTCTAGAGTCACCCTGAGTTCGGCCATGACCTCCACCTGGTCTGTGGTCATGAGAGGCGGAAGGAACTTAATTGTATATTGTCACACTCAGGATTTACTTCATGGTGACTGGAATTTCCTATAAGTATTTGGCTGGTGTGTCTAACCTAACCTAACCAAACCCAACCAAACCAAACCAACCCAGGAGCCTCATTGCGCCCCCCTAAACACGCGGTACAATAAGACTTTTAACAGCTTCACTGCCCTCATCATGACGCCCTGGGTTACGGCTATTCTGACCACCGATATAAAAATACTTGGTGAGATTATCTACTTTAAATGTGGAGGGATTATCCGCAGGTCGGCTGTGTGTGTGTGTGTGTGTGCGCGTTGATGATTTAGTGTCGGTATTTCAATCAGCCAAGGACGTGGTTCTGGCTGTGTCCTTAAAGACATCATTATGTTCCAGTAACAACCACAACCACTGTTCATAACTACAACCACAGTTACCAGCGTCACCTTCATTCATTAACTATATACATATGTTTGTTAATTATAAAAGTATTTATCTTCTGAAGTCATTCATTAACTCGTACTGTCTACAAATACTCTAAATAACAACAACAACAACAACAGCAACAAAGGCAACATTAATAATAATAATAATAATAATAATAATAATAATAATAATAATAATAATAATAATAATAATAGAAGCAAAGTATAAGTCACTATTAATACCCAACGCTTCACCAACACTTTCTCTTCACTTTTCCTCTCTTATTTACGTTACTGTTATTCATTTTTTATTCTATATGACTCATGTTCACATAATTTGTTTTTGCAGTTTATTTCTAGTTGGTCCCCTCTAGTCCCCTCTGTCAGGCCATTACGTCCCCTCGACCAGCACTATTGTGACCCCCTTGTCCACTACCACTATTACTGCTACCACCATTGCAATCCCACCACAACCCTTCGTCACCACCTTTACTACTAACATTATTACACCACTATCATTCCCAAACTGCCACCACTATCACCATCCCCCACACTACCACCATCCTCCACACAACCACCATTCTCAACACTACCACCATCCTCCACACTACCACCACCCTCCACACTACAACTACCCTCCACACTACAACTACCCTCCACACTACCACCACCCTCCACACTACCACCATCCCCCACACTACCACCATCCCCCACACTACCACCACCCTTCACACTACCACCACCCTCCACACTACCACTCCACACTACCACCACCCCCACACTACCACGCCTCACACACCACCATCCCCACACTGCACCACCCTCCCTACCACCCACCACTCCCACTACCACCATCCTCCACACTACCACCCTCCCTACCACCCTCCCACACTACCACCATCTACCCCCTGTCTACCTCCCACACAACCACACACACTACCATTCACACTACCCTACCCCCACACTACCACCATTCCCCTTTCCCCCACTACCACCATTCACACTACCACTACCCCCACACTACCATCACTACCACCGCCCACTCCACACAACCATTCCACACAACCACCATTCCCCACACTACCACCATCCTCCACACTACCACCACCCTCCACACTACCACTACCCTCCACACTACCACCATTCTCCACACAACCACCATTCCCCACACTACCACCATCCTCCACACTACCACCACCCTCCACACTACCACTACCCTCCACACTACCACCATTCCCCACACTACCACCATTCCCCACACTACAGGTACAAATATCACCACCACTTCCTCACCCTAACTCAATTTCTCGGTCACAGAATATACACCACAATGTCACAACTCTCCCTCAGCTTACATGTATAGTGTATGTATATGTGTATGTATATGTACTGTATATGTATTGCAGGTAAATATTTCTCTCTCGTGTGTAGATAAAAAAAGATATATGTGTATTTTATAACAATACAATCCAAATTGGTTTCAGGGTGAGGGAGGAAATGAGGGAGAGGGGGAGGGAGGAGGGAGTTAGGGAGGGAATGAAGGAGTGTTTGAGGGAGAGAGGGAGGAAATGAGGGAGAGAGGGAGGGAGTTATGGATAGTGTGAGGGAGGAGGGAGTGGTGGGTGGTTTAGTTGGGTGACTGGCTGATGTGGATGGCACCAGTATAACACACACACACTGGGTCATACGAGATGGGTGGATAACTATGGATGGGGTGGAGGTTGGCCCAGCAATATACAGCTACACTACATTCGGGGTTGTGGCAGGAATGGGTGGCTGTCTGGATAGATAACAGGGGTGGCTAACTGGGGTGTACAGGCTATATACTACTTCTCACTCACCCCTTCTATGCCTGTGGTATTTTTGATGCCCCCCCTAACCTACCCACCCCACCCTAACCCCAGAAAAAAAACCCCGACATGTAATTTGTCTGAATGTATCGCATGAATAACCGACCAACAGCATACACAATTAGCTGCAATCATCTGAGGGGAAGACTCCAAGCTGCCACCTCCAACAGAGCCACATATAGCCTCTCCTGTTGATATACTAGCCAACGGGAACAGCTAAACGGTTTGCTCGCTCACTATTTATGGGTTTCATTACCGTACAAGTGTGAATTTCTTATCGTCGACTTTCTATATTCCTGGAGGCTAATGACTTGACCCGGGGATAATCTATAAGGCTCATCTAGGGAAGGGGAGCGATATACGGGAGTTATTAAAAGTTATTAAGAGTTATTAAGACTTATTATTTTCTTAACTGGAGGCGGTGGGGGAGAGAGGTGTTTTATGTAGTTTTTCGGGTGGACTTCTTCTGTTTTGAGGGAAGGGGGGGTGGTGAGGGAGGGTGGTGAGGGAGGGGTGAGGAGGGTGAGGTGAGAGGGGGTGGGGAGGAGGGGTTGGGGGCTGAGAGGAAGGGGGTCTGTTATTATGTGAGGGGGGAGCTGTAGTGGGGGTTGAGGTCGTGTTGATGTGGTGCTTTTTTCGTATATGTTAAAATTTCTTCAGTTTCTTCCCTTTCATTATTTTATATCACCTAATTATCACAATCTCTCATACATCTTCCCGCGTTCCCCAACTCCCTCATTTTCTTTAATCCTTCATTCCTCACTCTTACTCTTCACTCTCCCTCACTCCTTCACTCACCCTCGACTCCTTTAATCCTTGCCCTCACTCCCACTCCCTCCCTCCCTCATCCTTCACTTCCTCTCCCTCACCCCTCACTCCTCATCCCTCACCCCTCAACCCTCACTCCTCACTCCCTCACCCCTCACTCCCTCACCCCTCTGGTCGTGGTCTAGTAAGCACACAGTCACAAAGGCATGTTTTACGCCTGGTCAGTGTGGGTAATATGTAGCCGAAGTCATACACATATATAACAATAACAGCCTATGTATTAATATATATATATATATACATTAATATACATAGGTAAGGTACAATATATAATAATACACGTTGGTATTATATGCAGGTAGTGTTTATTGTTTATATAACCCGACATAGGGAGGTTTATTTTAAGGGAGGGTGTTACTGAGTCTGCCTCCTGCTTGTCCAGTCGTGTCATCAAGTGGTTGTCATGACGATTATGACTAT